TGTGTAGTTAGAAGGGCTCAGCAGAGATAAGGAGGGGCAGGCGGAGTGTGAGAGCTCGCCTATTTAATACACACATTGTTGTTTATCCTTTTATTTATTCCCACCTTATCACACGACGCTGGTGCAGAATCCGATTTCACTGTCTGTTACCATGGTGACGCCCTGCCTGAGCTGTAAATAAATTCAGGGTGGGGGGGAGTGTGTGTGTGTGTGTGTGTGTGGGGGGGGTTATATTGTTACACTGATTAGAAAACACGCACATACACACATATACATAGACAAAAACACACTTATACTAATCTATTCTGCTGCCAAGCAAGGGTATGTTGTCTTACTGCACTTATTATATGCATGCATTTAGGTTTGTGTGTGTCTGTAAGGCCGTGATTAGACTGTTTGTTTATGTGTGCGTCTAGGTGTGCAGTTTAGTGAGGCATAACTATAACTCACTTTATTGCTGTATCCCCTCTGCGTAAGTGAAAGCGGATACAAATCTCCATCCCCCGAAGCCAGTGATTATGTTATGCTAATCACTGCTGATCGTCGCTGCATGACTGAGTCTGTAACACCGGGCTCCCTCCAACATTTGACTTCCGATGTCCCTCAGCAGGAAAATAAAATCGCATGCAGGGGTTCACTGATTGCTTAATTGTTTTATTAGCCATAAACAAATTAGGCTGCGATCCCAACCGTATTGTGTTTGGGGGTCTGGGCGGGAGTGGTGGGTCCCGTGCAATGCTGAGCCTGCAAAAACCCCCCCAAATACTGCCGCTGTCTCATATTGACTCGGTGAGCGTTAATGGGCTCCCACCCCTCATATCCAATTCTTTTTTAAGTAAAAGATGATTATCTGTTCTGTCTCAGTCTGTCTATGTCTCTAATGTGATGTGCCGTAATGAGACAGGACTGATTGAAGAGGGACATCAGGATTAATCTCACCGCGTAATTACTTTTATGATTTATGGCTCTCACTTCTGCGCACTCAGGCCATTACAGTGCGTGTATGTGTACAGTTTTACAGAGTATTTGTCCTGACCTTGCTGTTTATTATCGTTGTTGTTTTTTATTATCACGTAGGCTTCACCTGGCACCTAATATTCACTGTTAAAACATCCCGTGAGCGAAGCTTTGCAGCCGACTCTTGACAAATCTCTTTACACGCTCGCAGAGGCCACGAATGGAGGCGCCCTGCGTGCGTCAGGGATTGAGGCTCCTTTTTGAAAGGTTAACCTGCTTCTGATTGAGTGTTAAAACCCCACAAATACAGCTTGGAACGGGAACCGGCATTGCAACCAGGGCGTAACTAATCAATATGCAGTGAGGGGAAAAGCCAGAGTTGGTACACTTGTAACCTTTAAGAGCAAATAAGCCCTCTCGAGCCTGCTTTCTTCTTCTTTTCTTTTTTACTTTAGAGACACAGACAAGCCTTTGGCTGGCCCCTTTTCTTTGTCTTTCCATGTTTGTTTTCTTTTTCATTACAGATAAAACAAGAAATGCGTTACATTAGCTGACATAGAAGCCAAAGAAGACTATGAATGAAAGGAAGAGTGTTGAGTTTCTGACAGCAGTGTGATCTTTTATCGCAACCAAAAGGGGCTGTGGGGCTTCTGCTGGAACCGTTTGATGTTTACAGGGAAAATTGATCTCTTTACCTTAAAGCCAGTCTGCATAAGCTTCACTGATTCAAAAGTAATCAGGCAAAGGAAAAACAAATAGCGAGATATTCCAATTTTGGTCTGGACTCTTTAAGAAAATAATCTTCCTGTGCAGAAATTTCTTCTCCAAAAATGAAAAAACAGACATTTTACTGTGTGTAACTCATACGCTTGCAGCACAAAACAGTGCACAGCTTGAATCCCTTGTCACCCGCTCTAAGCCTTCTTTTTTGTTGTTTTTTTTCTGAAGACAGGCAAGAAGAACCCCGAGATGCAGCAACTGTAATTACATTACTGTCCCACACTGCCACACACACACACACACAGTGCTTTGAGCTCAGCACGTCTGCCGGCTGCCGCGGGATGTTAGAGGCGTGTTGCTATGGCGACTGAAAGGGGACACACAGGAAGGGGGTTAGGGTAGAAGAGAAAGAGGAGGAGGGGGTTGTGTCGGAGATTGAGGAAGAGAGAGAGGCACGCGGAGTTGCCGGTGTCTTGACAGTCAGTGTGTGGCAGCGGAGGACAGCAGCGGCAGACTGCTGGAGCAAGCGAGATCTGTCAGAGAGGAGAAGGGGGGGGGACATCCATAAATCTGCTGCTGAGGTGAGGCATCACAGAGACGGCAATTAGCACAGACAGCTGTGTGCATGGTAAGTAACGCTCAGCAGGTCATTTTGAAGCTTTTTCTCTTTGAGGAAAAGAGAGAGATAGAGAGAGAGGATGGAAGGCATCGTACGTATTCACGTGGTCTGTCTGCCTCTGTTCCTGTTTCTCTCTCTCTCTCTCTCCCTCTGCAGTGGCAAATACTTTGCAGACTGTTGTCTGTCTGCACTGGAGTCAAGTTGCATCAAGGCGTTGTTTAGCCATTTACAGAAACGAAAGAGTAATGTGCCGCTGACCGGGTAAATTGGCAGGAGAGCTCTGAGAAGTGAAGCACAGAGCTTCATGTTCAAAGGCAAAGTCAGCTGATTCTTTTGCATAATTAAAAAAAAACCCAAACGAAATAATATGGATTGATTGATTGAGATAGATTGAGAGAGGCAGTGTGGATTAATGGCACTCAATCAAACACTTGAAAGTACTGCCTGTGCGTGTGTAAATGTGTGCGTGTCTGTGTGACAGCGCACTTCATTGATTGTTTGATAGTGTGTGTGGGTGTTGTGGGTTTCATTTCCTATGTTTGTGTGTCTGCCTGCTTGCGGGGCTTTGTCTCTCTCTCTCTCTCTCTCTCCCTCTCTCTCTTAGTGCAGTAATGATATTTATTGCAATCTTTGCAGCTGGAGGGTTGTGGGGGGGGAGGGGTGGAGTAAAGTACAAAGCTTTATGTGGCTTTGTTTCTACTACTTCCTATATTTTCGGTGTGTTTCGGAGGAGGGGGGCGGTGAGTGTGTGTGAGTGAGCCTCTGAGTTTCCACTGTGATTTGCAGCCGAGCAGTGTTGCACGCTTTTTTAAAAGCTGCCACTTTGAGTTTGATAATCTCTCCCGCTGTCTCTCAGGTCTGATGAGTTCCTTGTCCGCCGGCTCGGAGATGCAGGCTTCCGCTCTCGACCCCCAGTTCATACCGGGGCCCCAAGGTAAGGTGCCTGGCAGGAAGCGAGGACGCCCTCCTATCCGAAAGCTGGAGTTCCAGAGCCACTATGTTGAAACTCTGTCACCTCTTAAGGTCCCGAAGAAAAGAGGCAGGAAGCCTGGCTTTAAGGTCAGTTTAATTTTTTTAGTTTAATCATGTAGATGGGCATTCCTTTCATAGAAGAGGGAAACCGAGTCTTTGTTGGTACAGCATACGATCATATACAGTACTGAGTATAGGTCAACTGTGCTTTGAGGCTGCTAATCTATACGTATTTCCCTGAACCCTTGGTGGTTATACATACAAACCACTTCCCTCACATATGTGATCAACAACTGAAAAATGCGTTTAATGCATTTTTCTTTTTACACAGAGTGCACTCCGTTGAGTCTTCCTGTGAGCAAACACAGTTGAATTTTCACACGGTTTTCATGTTGTCATGTTGTGTTTTCATTCCTTTGAATGACTAAGGCATTTTTGTCCTTGTGAAACATATACTTAACCTAGCTTTCATTCTTTATTTTGCTCGAATGTCTGTATGCATGATGACCCACTATTTTCATCACCTACAGCGCTGGGTAGTCTTGAGGCAGCCCTCATTCCTTGCTATCAGCTGAAAACTTGGCATATGTCATCGTGGTGTGAAGTTAATCCTTAAAAAACTGTGAAAACTGGACAAGTGGATGACATAAGAAGCAGTGGTAGGCCTAAAAAACTATCTGCAGCTGATGAACAGCATCTGAAAGTGATGTCTTTAAGAAATACGAAAAAATCCAGCCAATGACACTGGACCTGAGAGATGCATCTGGCACTTCAGCTGCACCATCTGTTGTGGAAGGATGGCTGTCATGAAGTTATCCTTAAGGAAAGGAAACAGGTAGAAAAGGCTGAGGTATGCTGACTGGCAGCCAGTGGTAACAGGTCTTATGTAGACATTGATCCAGATGTCTTGGTTTTCAGAAAGACAATGATCCCAAACATTCTGCAAATGTAGTAAAAGGATACCTGGATAGATAAACAATCAACAGAACACCATGAGTTATGGATTGGCCTCCCCAGAGCCTGGACCTCAAAATCTTTGAAGCAGTGTGGGATCATCTTGGGATCAATAAATTTGCCAAATTGACTGTGAGCTCACAAAACACGTTTTTGGGCATAAATTGAGAGTTTTCATAGAATTTCAAAAAGGATAAAATGATGAAGTGATGACATCCATCCATCTATCCATTTTCTTCCGCTTATCCGGGGCCGGGTTGTGGGGGCAGAAGCCCAAGCAGAGAAGCCCAGACCTCCCTCTCCCCAGCCACCTCCTCCAGCTTATCCGGGGGAACAACAAGGCGTTCCCAGGCCAGCTGAGAGATATAATCTCTCCTGTGTGTCCTGGGTCTGCCCTGGGGCCTCCTCCCGGTGGGACATGCTCGGAAAACCTCGCCCAGGAGGCGCCCAGGGGGCATCCTTATCAGATGCCCGAACTACCTCAACGGGCTCCTTTCGATGTGGAGGAGCAGCGGCTCTACTCTGAGCCCCTCCCGAATGGCCGAACTTCTCACCCTATCTCTAAGAGAGAGCCCAGCTAACCTTCGGAGGAAGCCCATTTCCGCCACTTGTATCCGCAATCTCATTCTTTCAGTCACTAACCACAACTCGTGACCATAGGTGAGGGTAGGGGCGTAGATCGACCGGTAAATTGAGAGCTTCGCTTTTACACTCTGCTCTCTCTTCACCACGACAGGCCGGTACAGCGTCCGCATCACTGCGGCCGCTGCACCAATCCGTCTGTCGAGCTCCCGCTCCCTTCTCCCATCACTCGTGAACAAGACCCCGAGATACTTAAGCTCCTCCACTTGGGGCAGAAGTGATGACATTTTATATGAAAAAAGTTAAAGCTGGTAAATGTATCTCGGTATTGTATGTATTGATTTTTATACACTCACCAGCCCTTTTAGCAGGTATAATTCAGTTGTTTGTTAAGGAAATATTCAATCAACCAATCGCTCAACACTAGCTCCGTGCTTTTAGCCATGTAGACATGGTTACACCAGTGTGAATGTTTGCACCAAAATTTAGTGTAAACAACATAAAAGCATGGATCCATGCTATCTTGTATCAGCATTTCAGCTTGTTGTTGGTGATGGAATGGTATAGTGCAGGGGTGGGCAATTCCAGGCCTCGAGGGCCGGTGTCCTGCAGGTTTTAGATCTCACCTTGGGTCAACACACCTGAATCAGGACATGTTGAGGAGCTAATTTAGCCATTTAAATCAGCTGTGTTGGTTCAAGGACACATCTAAAACCTGCAGGGACACTGGCCCTCGAGGCCTGGAGTTGCCCACTCCTGGTATAGTGGATATTTTCTTTGCAAACTTTTGGCCCCTTAATATCAACACAGCCTACCTGATTATCGTTGGTGACCATCCCTATCCCTTTATGACCTGCTGGCTGCTCTGGGCACCATGTCACTAAGCTCAGATAATCTCTAACTGGTTTTGTGAACATGACAGTGAGTTCACTGTACTGTAATGTGGTGGAGCAGGAGATCCACATCATAGATGTGCAGCCGACAACTCTGCAGCAACTGTCTGATGCTCTCATGTCAGTATGGACAAAAGTCTCAGAGGAATGTTTACAACATTGCTGAATCCATGCAACAAGGAATTAAGGCAGCTCTGAAGGCAAAAAAGGGCTTAACCAAGACTGTATTTAATAAAGTGTCTGGTGAGTTTATCTGTTGCGGTTGCCTGCCTGCTTTTAAACAAAGCTCACAACAAGATGCTTTTGTCCTCAGCTGTAAATCTACAGTAATGTGCTTTAGCCTAGCCCATTAACCAGACTTTATAGCATGTGCTGCATTATAGGAACTCTACAGATATAGCTAAGGATTTCCTTTCACCCATATCAGTTTTCAACATGCAGAACCTCTAATTAGCGACTGCATGTGTATGTTCCCCTGCAGCTGAAGCCCCGGATGGTGATGTCCCCTCTAGCCAATTGTCCTCCCAGCAGCACACCAGAGCCAGAGATGGGCTCCATCCCACAGGACGCTGCCATCGTCCCCCATTCTGCCGCACCACAGGTCCTGACAGGTAAAAAGACACAAAGACACGCACAGTTATAATTATCAGTTTTTCCATAAAGAAGCTTGGCCATTATTAATAACAATAGTGGAGAAATAAGCCATTCATTAAAAATAAACATACATATTCCAACATACACATAACCAACCATACAGTCTCACATTCATCCACACATATGCATGCAAACAGATGTGAACTATGGCCCAGAATAATAGGAAGAACGATTAAGGGAAAGCTAACCAATGGTGGTTTTTCAAAATGTGATTCTCATTGTGCATTCACTGGTTGAAATGATGGTGTGACTTTGTGGCCTCCCCCTTCTTCTTTTTTGTTTTGTCTACTTCTTGTATTATCTCCCACCCCCACAACCCCCCATCCTTTACTACTCTGCCTTTGACTTTAATTGAGGGGCAAGATAAAATGCTTCTGTCTATTTTTTTTCCAGTGTGATGTTTTATTTTTGTTCTCTAAATACACTAGTGACTGGTTTTCCCTAATTTATTTATCCAATTTAAACCACAAGTATATGTGGATTTATTTAGGATAAAGGGCTCACACCTTCACACATAACCCAGTTACATATTTTGTTTTCCCTTCCAATCTTCCCAGCCTCTTTTCCTTAGTTGCTTAAAAAATAAGATTTTTAAAAGTACGAATCTTAAATATTCTTTTAAATAAGAAACAAAAGTCATACAACCATGCTTTCTTTCATTTTAAAAACATCTTTCCCACCCTAAAGAGTAGCCTTGCTTTGAATTAGCAAATATTTAAAGGCTGCCTTAAGTGTATTTAAGGTTAGAGGGGGGAATCTCATGCGTCAAGGACCAGCCGATTGCTCTTTGTTCATGCAAATCATGAAAAGTGTTTGATGTCAGACTGTAGACACAGAGATGAAGTGCACATGCGCATATGCATGCAGACAAAAAATCAGCACGATCCCCGTGGTGCCACCCAGACAGATATTGATATTTTTTTCCTCCAGTGGAAAAAAAGCATTTCAGGAGCATCTATGTATATTGGAAGTATTCATTTCCTTTTGAGTGACTAATCTTCTAAATCTTATTTTTAAACACGCACATATGTATAGTATGTGCCGCAGTAATATGTTATGATGTAAAGATCAAAGACGACTTTTTAGCTGTTGCAATGAACTCGTAGATATGCAGCAAAATACTGCTTATATATCTAACTGCTTATATTTGAAAAGTATCAAAATACATTCTGTAGGGCACGTGTGCCTTATTGTGTGCACGTGGGGGTGTGTAATCCTTCAAATTTGCATGCCCAGATCTTAATCATAATTGATTTTTCAGAACACAATAGCAGTACATTTAACCTTTGCATGAGCATAATGCAGAAGTAATGCAAAATCGTCTTAGTAGCATTTTTGGATGTTATAAATCTGTCATTAGGAAAATCTGTATCTGCCTGGTTCTGACTTAACTAGCAAGCATTTACATTATTGACAAACTGAAAAGCTGGCACAAAGGGAGCAGACTCTGAGGAATTACTGACTATCTTTCATCCATTTCAGATCCATACAGTTACAGACCGCAGGGGCTTTAATGCAGCTTACCTAAAGATTAGCTTTGTATTTATTATACAGTTCTTTCTATATTATTCTAGTCTGGTGAAAGGAAGCTGTCTAATATACTATATACACCCAAAGGCTTTATACTGGTCTGAAAATATAATAAGATATTAAGAATTTTTTTTCTTGACTCATTATAAATTTCATATGGTCATCACAGTCCTTCTACTTTTTGTATCTATCGTCCAGTTTGAACAATACAGCCACACTTGCAGTGTTTTGAGGCTATACATTGAGCTTTATGCAATGAATTTTAACCTCCTGGGACCTGGCGTCCACATATGTGGACATCACATTTTGGGTTATTTAGACTAAAATACTCATTTTTGCTCTACATGGGCATGATATCCACTTACGAGGACATTATACTGCTAGTGTTCTATCAAAATTTTAAACGAATATCCTCATATGTGGCTCTTATTTTTCTTAAAAACAAAAATAAGGTTAAAAAAAAATCTGGTAATTCTTTGTTTTTACATTCATCGGGCCCCAATATGCCCAAATATCAAAGAGAAATTAAAAATGCATGTCGTGGAAGAGTTCGGGTCTTAGGAGGTTAAGCTATAATAGCTTGTACTATGTTCAGCATCTTTTTGCTTGTTAATATCAACTAGCGCATAACACAGTCTAAAGCTAAGGCTAACAGGAAATGTCATTAGCTTTTTTTGCCATTGCCTCAGTGCAACTCAGGCATATCAAGCTTTCATGATAATCCATGAAAATCGTTTCATTCAGGGTTGTTAGGGTACATCCTCTGATAACCATGTTGCGATATCTCACAGTATAATTGCAATGGTCATGTTAAAAAAAAGCAACTTTTTTTTTTTGTTGGGTTTGGCTTTAACAACGCCACTTCCTGTACTTCCCTCCCCAGCGGAGATGCCATTGGCTGATGATTTTTTATGTGACCCACCGGTGGACTCGAGGCGCTATGCTATAGATCCCAGTGACTCTGCATTCAGCGTCACGACATCACAGTATCAAACGAAGCAGTCCTACGGTTACCGTGGCAGCAGCTGCTCTGCTACAGCAGGCATGTGCAGACAAGCGTCAAGCCCAGGAAGTCACCAGGAAGGAAACAGAAATGGTGAGGCTATTAATTATTGCCAGGTGCACTTCCATGCACATCACCTGTGCCATTAGTGTTGGTTTATGCTTGCATTGTAATTATGTTATCCACATCTTTAGGGATCAAATTATTTAGACCAACGAAGGCCCAGATCACTCATCATTCAAGAGATGTTTGCATTTATTTTCATACGCATTTCTTTAACATCTGCCTACATCTATAGTTGTGCTAGTTTACAGCATAATAATGTCATTTGTGGTGTAAGTGGTTTGGGATGGGTGATGTCACAATTTCCATCATAGATCTGCCCAAGTAAAGTCACACAGTCAGATGTGCTGCAGCTTTAGTGTGAGAAACCCTGGAGTTTTTTTTTAGCTTCAATAGAATTGAATTCTGTGCAATGCAAAAAGATTAACCTGAGACCTCTACCGAAATATGCTGAGATCAGCAATCTCTGGAAGACCCATGAGAAGAAGCTTGGCATAAGTAGTACACATGCTAATTACTGCCTAAATTCAGTGTGACTTGAAGGTAACACTTTGTAAAATTGTAATATACAATTTTTAATTGTTGTGTTCCCTAATTGGTTAGCCTAGGAGGTGACAGTGTCTCTGTAATATTTCCTTCAGACAGAGCTAGGTCAGCTACTTCTAGCATTTTCCAAATCCTCATTATCACAAGCATTGTTTTTGCCGACTTATTTTGAAACGATGAGTTGGCAATTTTGGCCGACGCCATCTACGTTATTCGAAACAGGAAGTAAGGAAAGAGAGGGGTTGATTGGCTGAGAAACCAAGTATTCTGCTCAGTAACTTTTTACTCACAAGCTAAATTACACCCTCCTTCATCATCTATGTAAATCTAACTGGGTGAAATTTCAAAATAAAAGACTGCTGCACTATTAATAAAACTCAAAACTAGAGATTGAGACGTTATCTCTTAAGTGATTACAGAAGCCAAAAAAACCCCAAAACAGATGAGCAGTAAAGCCTCTTTCACATCACTTCAAAGTCTATAGACTGTGTTCTAAGTTCTTTTCAGGCAACATTATGAGACCATCAATTTTGTTTTTTTGGGGGTTTTTTTAGAATAAAAATTCACCCTGCCTGTCCTCTTTTGCTATCTAGCCTACAGCCCGATGTCAGATGCCGGAGAGTGCAAGCGTCCTGTTGGTAAGGACCCTTCCAGCTGGGGTGTGGAGGATGTGGTTTGGTTCATTAAAGATGCTGATCCCCAAGCTCTGGGACCCCATGCGGAAGCATTCAGGAAGCATGTAAGTCCGACCCGCTTAATGCCGTGTAACTTAAATACTAAATGTACTGGAACTGAGCTCATTTCCCAACATGCACTGGGGCACAGCTTACAAGAAGCAGGGTATGGTTTCTATTTAAAAATCTCTTATATGACAGCTGTAGCTCAAATTATCTGTCACCCAGTGCCCTGTGGTCCTGAATGTAAATGAGCTGAAATGGAAACTGCATGAATATTATTAAAGAATTTTTAAAGCGCACGAAGGTTTGTCCCCGAGCCTTTTAAATAAGTCACTGTGCTGCCTCCATTTCTCACACAGCACTTGGGTAGAATATTTAAAGTCACCCTTTTTTTTCTGTTGCTTTACGACTATATCTTGCTATATTCCAGGAAATAGATGGGGACGCCCTACTTCTTCTGAAAAGCGAGATGATGATGAAGTACCTGGGATTGAAGCTGGGACCAGCGCTCAAACTCTGCTACCACATCGACAGGCTCAAGCAGAGCCGGTTGTGAGCCGAGTCCTCGATCGCCTCGTTAATTTTTAAGAGCAACGAGTCGGAGCCAATTCCCGAAACCTTTCTAAGTCATCAGCAATACATCACGAACGTCTGATCCAAATATATGCTGGCTTTTACTACATTTACACCACACTTTGTCCACAGATTGGACACTGTGACTGTACATGTTAGGACATTTAAGAGCTCAAACAGTTATTTTACTTTTGTCTCTCTTTACTTTGTACCTGAACTGCTATAGATTGTAAATAGTTTGTCGCCAAACAGATGGCAGCTACGGTATATTGAAGTACGACCTGTAATAATAATTTTTGAGCTTGGGCATTGTTAATTTGTGCAGATCATAATCACTGGATACTGTATTATATCATTATAAACTTCTAGGGTGCTTTACCTCAGTAACACATTTAAACTTTACAAAGTCTTGCTGCTGGACTTTTAAGATAGTCCATTTTATCCTCACTTGGTCACATTTATCCAGGTTAAAGTTGGTGACATGACTTGTAATTAATAACTCAAACTGTTCATTAAGTCGATTTGGAAGTCTGTTGCAAGATAATCTAGAACAAAACAGCGCTGTTACTGAGCCACTTTGAGAGCACAGTTCTCAAACATCTCTGAACTTTAAGTGCACACTTGTTGGCCAAGCAAATGGTTTATGTGCCAGAGACTTGACAATACAAAGTGTACATTTATAATACTGGAATGTGTAAAACTTCATGAGAAAGGAGTGATAGAGCTCATATTTGGGAAAAGTTTTAAAAAATAAAGAAAGAAGTGATTTGTTAACGTGAAGATTCTGACCACAAACCACACCGGAGCTCGAGTGAAGCGATCAAGATTTTTTACCAGTCGTAGATGTCTGTAATCACACAGTGCTCATAATGACAGGAAGGAAATATGACTTCTTTTTTCCACTGGGGTTGCAATGTAGCATGAGACAAAGCGAATTTAATAAATCTCATACAACTGGGTGCTCACCGAAACAGATACTACCACTACAATCACTACATTTTACAACATATCTACTCGTAAACTTCACCTCTGTGACTTCCTTCAGGTTACATTCTTCTCATAAGTTACCTCTTCAGTCATTTAGAATGGAGCAGGATTTCATCCCTTAACTGTTAAAAAGGGAAACTGCTGTATGTAAAATGTCTCGAGCATTAACATTTGTTTTGGTTTGGTTTTTTTGGTTTCTTTTAAACATTGCCATGTCAGAATCAGGGCTATGCAGCCACCAAATTCAGTTTTCTTGTGTGACATTGTGCAAAAGGTAGTCATACACAGTATTTGTCTAACTTGGTTAAACAATGCCTTTTTTTTTAATGTGTATAGTACTTGTTACTTACTTTAATCTTGTTTTTTTTCAATGCTTCAATGCTTTGTTTGTACAACACAGACTGATTAGTATCTTTTATGATAAAAAAAAGTTTCACTTTATCAAACTTGATTTTAAATACATGCAAGAAATGAACACAAACATTTAGCACATGAGCTATTTCAACAAATGTAAGAATCTCTGGATGTTGTCAATTTTTGAGTTAGTGACCTATGTTAATTGAATTTTGATGTTCTTTACTGTTTGATACTTAAATAAACCTGGCTTTATTTTAATCCTGTCTCTTATTTAACTGGATTTTGTGCTGTTAGTTAACATAAAGGATGAAAGATAAAAGTGTGTTTATTAATCTGAAATAGGAGCTGTATGGTAAAACAGACAAAGCAGGATGTATCATAGCCAAGGAATTGAGAATATGATATTTCTGGGATATCAGCATGTATAGAAAATTACCAATGACAGAAATAATACTATCACTTGAATTTATTTAATTGAATTTCTTCTCTTTTTGGAAAACCAATTGTAAGTATAAATGTACAAAGGTTTGCAAAAAGTACATTTACGCGATGAACTACTGTGAAGTGAGGCACCTATAATACATCCAGAGAAGCTACTCAGCCATGGAAACCCATGTCATGAGGTTCTTGGTGCACAGTTTTGTGTTGATAGTAATGCCACGGTAGATTTGAAACTGCTTTTATTGAATCAGCAGAGCGTGGATGACTTTTACACACCTCAGCACCCGGTGACCCAGCTCTGTAACTTCATGTGGTCTGCCACGTGGTCTGGCTGACTTGCTGTGGTTCCTAAACACTTCCACTTTGCAATAATACATATTGCAAAGTAGACAGAACTGCACTTTGCAAATCAAATGATCCTGTTCACATATGGTGCAAAGGCTAGAATGCACTGGTGCTGCAGGTTTTATCCCACAGTATCATAAAGCAGTTAGAATATCAGATTGCTTATCAGCAGTGTTGGTCAAGTTACTTGAAAAAAGTAATCAGTAGCTACTTCCCC